TATTCTAATTGGTATAACATAAACAAAAAATAGTTTAATAAAATCTTGAATGTGAGACACTAAAACCTTGTGTCATGAGCAGTAAAGGGTACCCAGGGCAATACAGTTGATAAAAGAATTAAGTACAAAAGTATTATATGTGGTATGTGCATGAGAATGTTCACAGAAAACACAACACAAAATGTTTACAATAAGTTAAAAATAATCACTCATACACCTCTTCATTTCTTCGATTAATTTGCTATGTTACTTGCTCTGTAAAATACAGTTACTCAAAAATAAAGATCAACATCTAGAAATCTACATACAAACTTATGCATTATCTTCAAAAAAGTCCATTTGTTAAAAAAACTGTTTGAAGAGTATGAATGTTTTTAAAATAAAAAAGTAGTCTCCAGAAAAACTACAGTCAATTATAGTTTTACCTCAACCCTTGTTTTGTAGAATTCTAATTCAGCCATTTTATCTTTATACTTCTGGACTTCATTTTCTAGCCGATCAACCTTTTGAACCTAGAACAAACAAAAACAAGATATTTAAACATTTCTTATTAGAAGTACCAGCTAGAAATAAAAATAAAGACTAGTGTATTTTTAAGCATAATATATTTTAAAGAAACTGAAGACTATTCCAGTCATCTACAACATTCTTATTTTCTATTAACATTCTAACTGTTATGCATATCTTGTATTATACAACTGTTTGAATAAGAGTGAATGGCTGTTTTCAAGCAAGTAGAAAACTGAATAATTCTACTTGCCTTTTCTTTCAGAATGTCAATTTGATCTCTATAAGCTTGGGCTGCTCGTGTATTCTGAATCAGCTGGAAGTTCTACATGAGAGACACGTACAAGTATACACATTTTCTAAGCAATTATTAAAAGAAACTTTTGTCACAAGTCTTCAACACAACATAATTTAGAAAACACTAAAATATTATAAATTATTAATATTTTACTAAAATCTTACCAATAAACTTACCATAACTTCAAATAAACCAAAACATACATAACTAATCAGGAGAAGGTGGAGTCAATTGAGATACCAAATATAAATTATTTTAAAAAACATTTTTTAATAACCAAATTTACTTAAACTCATGAAATAACTACAGTTATAATTTTCCTACACTGAAAATATATTTCAGACAGATACTTACTTCTGCTCATATACATAGCTATTCTCATTCAGTGCCATATTTGCAAAATTTTTTTTGTATGCCACAAGCCTTTCACTATGACATACCCCTCGGTTCACATGATTTAATCAATTCATGCATGTAAATCATTATGTGACAAACCTTTACCAATAAATGTGCCCCCCACACACGTGACTCCCTTTATGTTATTCTAGCTAACTATCATTTTGAGTTTAGGCAGAAAACTAAACATCAGTGAACAGTGGGGAGGAAGGGTGGGAAGTGTGAGCAGAAGTAAGTACCTGTCGGAAATATATTTTCAGTGTATGAAAATTATAACTTCCTACAAGGCACCTTACTTCCGCTCACATACATAGCTAGAATACCACACTGAATAGCCAGATGAGGGATCCTAACTGGTACATCATGTTGATTAGTTCAGCCTTAAATCCAAAACTCAACCACTGGAACCAACTTCCATGCGGGGGTAAGATGAGGGATCCCAATCATTATGACAGTACACTCCAAAGCAGCAGCATCCCCTCTGACAATTTATGCAGAGATGGATCATCTACTTGGAGGACATCTCGTTATCTATACCAGCAAAGCACCACCATTTTACTCTCAACTGAATGAATTTGTTAATGTTTATATTGTATATCCCTCATTCAAGAAGATACCTCCATGGTCCACCACCTCGGTGGCTTGGAAATGGAAAATGGTAAAAACTATCTTACCCCATTGGAAGAAACGGGGGGAGAAAATGCTGTAGAGAGTCTGGAAGAATGTTCACACTGGAGAACACAAAACCCTATTTTGAAAAGCAGACGAAACGCAATTTATTCAGTCTAAGGAATGGCAACAATCCCCTTCTACTTTACCCATGAAGGCCATGGGTTAGTACGATCTGGAACGAGCATATTTGTGAAGCAAATATATCGCGAGGAATAACCTACGAGTGATCTTGTGGAACACCCCATCTCTAGTTTATGTGATTGTAATGAATAGTGTGCAGTTCGTGGCCATGGAAGTTATGTTATGAAAATGAAGTCAACATGGCCTAACACTGTGGGTTTTAGTACAATTCTAAATGATGGAAATATACATGGATAGACACCACTCGCCACAAAGCAGGATCTTGGTCAAAACATGGGTCAGGCCCAGTGGTAGGATTC